TATTTTTTTATCTTTTAACTACTTATTTTCTCCATCTTACATATTGTCACTCACTTAGGAAAAAAATTGGTGGTTGTCGTAATGTGGTTTCCGAGAGCCAATGGAGGAGAAAGGAGAGCCCGAGGACAAGCTGAATGCAGATTTTTGATATTTTATTTTCCACCACGTGATACAGGAACAAACAAAACCGAAAATCATATAAACAAAGTAACAAAAACACCTTAAACACTCAGCTAAATAATAAAAATAAAAATGTGCTAAAGAGCAAAAACCTAAATGTCTAAACTCACAACAGTAACGCTGTGTAGATGCTTTCAAATAAAGTTATCTCACACAAGAAAAGGTTTGTGACAAATCCACTTCCACGTACCCTTTGAGCCAACAAACTAGACTGATGAGCCCAGTTTTCCCCTCCTTTTATCCACAGTCCTACATTAGCTATAACTGGGGCATACCAAGTGGAGGGGACAAAGGTGAATAAACTATAGTCTAATTTAGTATCAGCTCATTTAATGAAAACAGTCACATCTCTACACTTATATTTGACATTAAAATATATCTCTACACTTATTAAACATACATTAAAATAATCCACATTTCATATTCACAGTTAAAATCCTCACATAAATATAAATAGTTTTACAACCCCCCCCCCCTCTCAACCTCATATTGGTTTGCTCCTGACCATGGGAAGGAAATGGAGGGAAACAATAAATGTAATGTAAAATGTAAATGAAATGTAAACAATAACCCAATCAAAATCAAAGCATGTTTCCACATAACACAAATAAAAAACATAAGCATCAACAACAAATTAATAATTACCCTCAAAATAGAATCATGTGCTTTAAAAAAAGAAGAAGGGCTGCACAGTTCATGGGGATGATGTCCTGAAACCATCATCACAGTGGTCAACAGTAACAATCACAAATTTTACCTCTTCCCAACAGAAATAGCCACCAACAACCAATAATGTATAATTATTTGGTGTCATGGCTTTCAATCAAAAAAAGTTGTTATAATGGAAGTCAATGGAGGATGGACAATATATGAGTGAGAAACTTTTTTAATCTGGTGCTATGTAAAAACTAAAAATCCAAATCACTAATGTTTGACTTAACTGTGATAAAAGTTTAAATGAAATCCAGTTCTTAATAATTTTCTATTGTGAAAATGATGAAAATGCTAAAAAAATAATGAATTATTGTTTTCAGAAATCAGTGACATTATGTAGCTGTCACTGACATCTTTGCAGTTAACGGGTCAAAATCCTGAATGATTAGTTTTGATTAGAGCTGAAATATTGATCTGATTTATTTTGACAGCATTTTAATTTAGTGGCTATTGCCAGTAGTAAATGGCAGTAAATTTGCTGTGGCCAAATCTGGACTCAAAATCATCTCAAAGGGTTCATTCAAATCAGCCAATGTGATTGGCATGCGCACCAGTGCATGCAGAGATTTATAAGTAAATGCACAGCTGATTTTATTACTGAAAAATACAATGTAACCCCTTACCTCAAACCCTACAATTTAAACATCCAATCATGTCAAAAAACAAATGAAAATATGCACATTACAATTACATTATATTAATAACTGTACATATTATTTGTTCATGAATTCCGTTTTTTTTTCTCAGATCGGCATGGTCCACGTTGTCTTCTTCTACATTCTGCATTTCTGCCGGCAGTTGGTCTTCGTGTTGCTATACGTCTTGATGGAAGTGTTTGTAGTCAGATGGGTGAGCATATAGACACCAATGACAGAGTGGTTCACTGCGAGCCTGTCAGAATGTATATATGTGTGCAAGTGTGTTGTTCTCGTGCATCTGTGCCCCCTCCTTGGTGAGCATGTGCAGAGCTCCTCTATACTCTGCTGCTGTAGGGTAATCTTTTACACTAGGCAGAAGAAGGCAGTGGAGGGTGGAAATGAGCTTTTCAGTCTCACTCCCTCCCGTATTCCCCCTCAGCATCGCTTTTCTACCCAGTGCCCTCCTTGGCTTCCACCTCTATTCTTTCAGCTCTCCTCACCAGCATTGTTTTGCTCCCTCTCTCCCTTGCTGTACGTTCAGGGCACTACCTGACTGTGAAATCAGGCTGCGTATGGCTTTTTGCCTATCATTTTTCTGTACTATGGTAAAAACTCCTCTCTCTTGTGACCTAGGCTTGCCCTCTAGGGGCTGAGGCAAATCACTGCAGCAGCACCAGTGCCTTCATGGAAAGTGTGCTGAGGCGTTGGCTCCAGGAGCGAGGGCACAATGGGCCGCCTCTTACTCCCTCCTCAGCAGCCTCATTCAGCTTCACATATATTAGAATAGTTCACAGGGTGCCCCCGCTTTCCAGGTGATAATGAAAGGCGTTCCAAAGAATGCTTTCAACATGACTGTTCCTCTTCAGTGCCCCTTACAAAGTAGCGCACATTCGGGGTATGAATATACCTCAGTGTGAGCAGTGCCTCTTGTTGAAATTCAATTTCCTGATATATTTCTTTAAGTGTACTGAAGGTCTATCAGGAAAACTACCAATGCTCATATGTTCTCCGTTCTGCAAGTGTATTTGTGAACATAAGATGTTGAGTTTTTACATTCTCAAGCAAGGATGTAATGAGTGAAATTCCCAGATATTTGAGGGAAAACCAGTACAAAACCAGCCTGCTTAATCAAATTTGTTCATTGGAATAAATAAATGTTTTTTTCTAGCTTCTAGAGAGAGAGAGAGAGAGAGAGAGAGATAGAGAGAGAGAGAGAGAGAGGGGGGGAGAGGGAGAGAGAGAGAGAGAGAGAGAGAGAGAGAGAGAGAGAGAGAGACAGAGACTACATTGAGCAACACAATGAGATCTGAAACACTGTTGGTTAATTGAGTTTGGCAAAATGGTAAAATCAGTTTTAATAAACTTATTAATGATCTAAAAAAAAACAATATAGCTTTGATAAACATATTTTCACAGGATCTGTTGGCTTTAAATTCCTGTTTATGCTGGTGGGTTTTTTAGTGAATCTTCTGTGGAAAATAACATGTTCTTCCAAACACTGGCTTGCTCCTTGTTCCATTTACATTCACATTTGTGTATTTAGCAATTGTAAACATAAGCAGTTTGTTACAGGTCGGATTAATCATAAGACATGCACATAGAAGAAGTTCAAGCTGATACAGACAAAATTCAGTGCTTCAGAGTTTTTCTTTTCTTAAATTAGTTACATAGGTTAGCAAGTTTTTAGTTAGTTAAATTCTTGTTCATTCATTCATTCATTCATTCATTCATTCATTCATTCATTCATTCATTCATTCATTCATTCATTCATTCATTCATTCATTTTCTTTCTCACTTGTTCCCTTTCTGGGTCACAGGGTTCTACTGGTACCTATCTCTGCACTGCTGATAGTAACCACTGTGTTATTTTGCACTGCTTTTACTTAGTAGGGCTCAAGCACCAAAGGCGTAGATCCCTATTGTAATTTCTCAAAGTATTATGATTTTGTGGCTTTCTGCACATTTTTAAGGGTCACCAAATTTCGCACACACATCAGAACAGGTGAAAATGTTCGCGTTATCGGAGTTTCAAAATGTACTGTTGACAAAATGGCTCCATAGTGCCACATCAGCTTATGGTGCAAAACAGTTTGTAAAAAGTGACTGAAATTCGGCACACATGTGAAGGGTACTAAGATTTAATTATAAGTAAAATAGATTGTGTTTCCAAGTGTAACAGGTATAAGACACATGTATCCTGTAAATATAGAATTACACAGAAAATACTGTATTTGAAGTTTAATTGGTTCGTTAGAGTGGATGCCTTCCCCTTTAAGAGCGTACTAATTTTTGTTTTGGGGAAGTTCCCATTTTCCCGCCTCCTCTGCCCTTTTGGCCATGGCCATCGGTGCAAGAGGTAGGTGTTTCCTAAGCTCCAACATCTTTTGATTTTGTTTTTCCAATATAGCCATCTATATAATAATCTCGTATTTCTTTGTGTAAATAGAGACCCAAGAGGAGATATTGAGGACGATTGCTGTTTTTGTGTCTTCCTACTGTCAGGAATAATGAAAACCGTTAGTGTTCGACTGGTTCACTTTTAATAATAAAGAAAAGAAATCACAAGACAGATCCACCGGTTACACAAGCTCGACAGGAAGTCTGCTATTTTGGTGAAGACTATAAAAATGTCCATATTTGCATATTTCATACTTTAACAAACTCCTTCTAGAGGTTGTACCTGTTTATGCCCAAACTCAACCACTTTTATCTTAAGGCATATGGCATGTTAAATTAAAAAGCTTTTTGGACTTAGTTAAACTATGTGCGTGCATCAGCCATCGAAAGTTGAAATTCTGCCCTAAAAAGGATGTTGTTAATAACTAAGCCATAGAATATCTGATAATTTGACCTGAATTTTTAAAGCCCATATCTGAACAACTATTCAATATCACAGTTTCTGTAATTTTATACTGCTATGTCAGACTGTGTTTGAAAGACGTGTTTGAAATTTGGAACACTTATGAAAGGGAACAAGATCTACAATTGGAGTGAGTTTCAAAACCAACACCAAAACCTACAGTACAGTTCCAGGCCTTTGTATCTTACAAACTGCTAGAGATTTCCAGTGATTACCATCAAACTCTGGGAGTCTCATCTTTAGTTCTTTTAGCAATGTTAAATTATTAAGCTTTTTTTTACTTAATTTAAATTAAAACGGTTCTGGATTGGCGGATTAGCTGAATTTCGATGTTTCACCAGGAAGCAGGAAGTTGTCTGATTGGACATTGTAACTCGGCTGTACAATGTCCATTCGGGATCACATTTTCCATATATGTTAATGCTTAATACCTGTGCACAGCTCAATAGCAGCCAAGTGGTGCCACATAGAATATCCAATTTTCTGCTGTTTTGTAGTACATGCTTAAAATTTGGAATACTTTATGTAACATTTTTTTTTGATTTTTATGCATTTGGCCAACGCTTTAATCCAAAGTGACTTACAATTGACGACACATTTTTTTTTGGCATTTGCTTGGGATTTGAACCCACGCCCTTTGCATTATTAGCACAATGCTCTCCCAACTGAGCCACAGGAAAACAATAGGTCAGTTTGCTGTCAGTTCGCCGGTGAGAGCGCCGAATCCTGACCACTAGACCATCAGGAAGTGATGTTGTGAGTTTGTGAGTTTCCAAAAACAGGAATTCAATTATTTTGTGAAAACCTCTAAAAATGGTACGTTTGCAAATCTCATATTTTAACAAACTCCTCTTAAAGATTGGAAAATTTGGCCACTGAGAGGCTAAAGTGCTAGAGGTGCTAAAGCCCTTTAACTGCTGCTTGCAGCTTTAATGTACTGATATATTGGTAAGTGGGAGAAAGAGAACTAGTACTAAACACAAAAAAGGCTAAATAACTCACAACATTTTAATGGAAAATTACTCAAAATGGATTAATATCACTATTTTTTTAATGCAAGAAATCATTAATATCATCTTGAAATTACTTTTATTTTTCTGTTTTGAACCATTTCCATTCTCCACAACAGTAACTCTTGACCACTGACGACTGAAGACATGTTGGGCTTCCTCTTGTACTCGGTGCAGCTTCATTGCTCTTTCTGTCTCCTGTCAGCAAACCCTCTTCCATCTTTTCATTTGCTTTCATCAGTCGCTCTCTGGCTCTGTCCATCTCGTTCTCTGTCCATCCCTCTTGCACTCAGTCTCCGGTCTGAGAGAGCTGACAGGCCTGGCAAAGACAGAGTGTGGACGTCCAGTTTAAAAAGTGACCGCCCCATCCTGCAGCCATGCAGCTGGGGAACTGCAAATCTATCATGGCCAACTGCAGCCTGCAAGCCAAACCATCCTGCTGTGAGGGGAAGATGAACATGAAGACAGGGGCTCTGTTTGTTTCTGGTATTCAAATGCATTTTAGTTTATCAAGGTTATTCTGCCTGCAAATGCTTGCAAAGTGTGCTTGTTTAGTTTTTAACCTGAATAATTACAGGAACCTCAGCTCTCTTGCCAACCAATATGTTTGTATTAACATCAGCTTTTCTTTTTTCTAAGGTCAGTTTCACTCCCAGAAAGGTACAAAGGTCTGTCACTGTGGCAATAATATATATATGTGTGTGTGTGTGTGTGTGTGTGTGTGTGTGTGTGTGTGTGTGCGTGCGTGTGTGTGTGTGTGTGTGCGTGCATGGGTGTGTGTGTGTGTGTGTGTGTAATTAAGCTAATTATGGTCAAATTATAATGACTTCAGAAACTTTCTTACTCACACTGATCAAAAGTTTCAAGCTCCTAATATCTTGTGTGGGCATCAATGACTGTCTGGAGTCTCTTGAGGTAGTTGTAGTTGAGGTTCTTTATCTTCTCTGTTGGTAAAGCAGCCCATTCTTCCTTGCAAAAAGCCTCCAACTCTTGTATGTTTGAGTGGTTCAATGATATTGAGGTCAAGAGACTGAGATGGCCGCTCCAGAACTTTCCCTTTATTCTGGTATAATCAGTGACAAGTGTATTTGTCCATTTGCACATCTGTACCTGTTTTCAAATGTACTTCAACTGGTGCTAAACAATGCCATCCATGACTTGAAATGTGCCAATAAAGCTACAGTTTTAATAATTTTTTTTTTTTTAATTGTACTGAGATTATTACAAATAAGTATTTATGAGAGAGAAAGTGGAATCTGACTACTGGATCATGATGGTTAGTGCTGATGTGCTTAGAATACATTCATACTGTTAGTTGAGTCAGTTAGTTGAGTAAGCACTAAGCAACAGGAAGTGCTCTTTTGAGAGTAATGGTGAACTGTACCATTTCATGAATCTGAATATCTTGAATGCTTTAGTAATATTTCAGTTTTTTAAACAATCTTTGAGGTGAGGAGACCTGCAAATCCGCTTGACTCTCAAGTATAGACAGGCATATTGGTGGCTTGGTAGGTCATCGCAAATATGTTCCTTGCTTGGGTGTCTGCATGTTCTCCTCATGTCCCAGGGGCTTCCTCAGGGTACTTTTTTTGTGTTATTTTTGTTTTTGCAGTCCACATCTGGCTAGTTACTGATTTTATATTCAACACAGTGGTTTGAACGGTATCTTCTTCCACTTTGAAAGTGAAACCCATTCATGGGAAGTTACTTTAATGTTAAATACTTTCACATGATGCTTTTACATGAAAGTCAGTGAATTCATGGTTGATGACTTGCACCAATGCTAACGATAGAGAACTTGCCAGGCGTTTCTGGCTAGGAAAGTAGTCTTTACAAACTGTGGAGCACAGAAAATATTTTGCACGGCAAACTGTTGTGTGTTTAGAGAATGAGTTATGCTGTTAGTGGTACATTTGTTTTGCTGAGAATCAATCTGATACAACTGTCTGGAAGAGATTCTGGTCACGATTTAACACCAAGAGACAGTATTTATTGCAGACTATTAAATAATCTAACAATATCTTTTATTCTTGGAAAGACATTGTAATTTCCAAGAAAGAATCCAGCGGCATTTAATGTAAACATGTCAAAAAGCAGCTCAGAGAAAATAAAGTCCAGCTATTGCAGTCCACCTGTTGTGTCTTTATTTGTTGTGGAATAAATTCATACTCAATTTTACTCCGATTTAACCTATTTACTTTCCTTTTTGATCAAATCTTTGTTTCTCTCAGTTGATGTTGAGTTCATTGATCAGATTAAGTTGCTTTTAACTGCTATACTCTACATTAAACATTGCCAGTAAACCATTATTTTATAAGTTTAGTGAAAAAGACATATTTATATATTTATCTTATATTTAAATCTATTATGTTTAGTTATAACTTATTTAGAAAAATGTTAGCTAACTATTAACTTCACTTTAAAATACAAATGTTATGTTTTCCACAAATACAATTAGAATTTAAAAGCAAATCTTATTTAAAACGAAAGGATTATCAGAGGATTATTCCATTTTTACTTTTTCATTTGGACTAAATAATTTGCCAAAACCTCATGATAACATTTCTTGCTGGACCTTTAAGGCAGATAATCTTTTATATGTATTATGTATTATAGCTAAGGAAGCTTAAACATGCCAAACAAATATGCTGCAGTCATCTTTTTGAAACCTGAAAGTCTTTGAAACTTTAAATCTATTCACAAAATTTGTGAGCTATGATTTTTGAAGATGTTTCAAGGCCAGGTTTGGTTTTGTCCAGTGGAAAAACAATGAGCTATTTGTTGTTTTTAAAGTCTGCTGTAACAACAGTACTAGAAATAGTAAAATGAATTTAGATAAAATGTAAAAATGCCCAATGTTTTGGTATTACATTATGACATTAATGCTGTGGAAAAATATATTTCAAAGGACTATGCTAAAGCAATGGGATGGAGGTTGGAGAGTGAAAGGGACCATTGCTGGCTGGCGCCGGGGACAGAAGGGGGGCATTAATCATTATTGGCGCACACCTCTGTCCATGCCGCACCCTGACGGCCCTTCCACCCCTGACATAAATCATAATTCCTCTACAATAGATCCCCTTTCCAGCATGCTGCGGAAAAGTCTGCTACTCTTATTGATTTTTCCTTTTCTCCCTCTGCCTTCCCCATCAGCACCTGCACCCCTCCCCCGATGGCCACCATCAACTCTGCCAAGTCATTAGGAAACATAACTGATATGATATTCATAGAATACTAAATAAACTTTACGAGGACACGGTTTTGTATGTTCAAGCCACCCCTACCTCCAACATGATGCATGAGAAGCTGGTGTGGAGAGAACAAAACTAATGATATAAAAATTACAAAGCATGCTCTGTGCTATTACACCTCTATTGATTTGTTTTTGAGGTGCACCTAGGCTTATAAAAGTTGCTGGAGGAGATTGGAGGGAGAGAGAAAGATGGAGCACAAAGGGGGGAACATTGAAAGAGAGATAGATAAAGAGAGAGAATATGGAGTTCAACGGGCTTTGTTCACAGGCCTTGGGTCAGAAAGATTGTAAGTGTCTGTTTTTGTCTGTTGAGTGATGTTCGAATGGCCTGTAGTGATCTGACTCCCACAAAAGATCATTGATTTGTGAACCTTGACCTCAAAACGACCCTGCTGAATTCCAATAACATTAGGATTTTTAATTGTACCAAATATTCAGGAAATTACGTTTATATTTATTTTAACATAGATCTAATTTCTTACGTTAAGTCATCGTCTAGAGCAGTTTATTGTAAAAAAAAATAAAAATCTTCAAATCTGCGATGGACTGGCGACCTGTTCAGGGTGTACCCCTGATGTGCGCTGGAGACCCCCGTGACCCCAAAATGGATTAAGCGGGAAGGAAAATTAAAGATGGAATCTTCGAATGGCTTCTCAGCAGGGTGCACTTTGTCTGGTTTGAGGAAATATTGATGCAATGACGCACTCTGCCTGAAGATGGCGTTTATGGTAAAGATGCTTCTTAGGAGAAGGTCTTATTTCATATACAATAACTTGAAAACGTAGACGAAACGCAATATTCACGTCATGTCATCTTGCTTCTGGAGGCAGAAAACTGCTCTTTGAGATGTTGGGGAACGAAATCAGTCCATTGCTCAGTCCATTAAAACACATTTTTTTAATTTTGCGCATCTTGGTTTTTCCACCCAGGGCTTTTTTATGCGATATTAAAAAAAATAGAAATAAAATAAACACACATAAAAAGGCTGAATGGAAATGCAGCCATAGTTTATACTGCATATTAAATATTAGAAATGTGTGTGCTTTAAAATTCTTTGATTTACTGTTGATAAAATAAAAAAATGGCGCAGATTCTAACTGACAAATAAACAAACCAATATAGTTATTTGGTTTTAACGCACTCCTGTATAGCGAGCAAGCATATTGTGTTTTGTATAATATATATAGATGAATCAATTTGTCCATTTCATACTTAATTTAACTCTGATTTAACCTGTTTTCTTTGCTTTTTAAATCAAATTGTTTGTTTCTCCTAGTTGATGTTTAGTTAATTGATCAGATTAAGTTGCTTTTAACTGCTATACGCTACAATAAACACAACTATTTAACGATTATTTTATAAGTTTAGTAAAAAAAGATGAACAATGAAACTAAAGATAAGAACCGCTAGAACCCCTGT